GCAACTAGTAGCAGTAACAAAGCGCTAAGGGCGCAAAAGAAAGCGAATTTAGATAGGTGGGACACTAGACTGTAGTGCAGGGGCATCGCAGGTAGCTAAAAGTAGTTCTGCTAGTCGTACGATATCAAAGAAGGCACGTAGTAAGGGTAGTTAAGAAAGGGCCCTACTAGGTTAATAGCACTATAGAACCTATAGGAGGATAGGCTATAACTCTCGTACGTGCTAGAAAGATGTAGAAGAAGATTCTCTTTTAGATATAAGTAAGTTGTACAAAGCATTTATAGCTAGTGTAGAGTAATCTAAGTTTTTATATATGAAGTTCGTAATGCTAAGAAAAATTGGCACACTTAGTGATGTGGCCCGCTTGGTAATGGAGTACGTTATATAAGAATATTTTGATTAAAGCTTACGTATAAGAGCTTAAGGAGCAATTAGCAAAGGTTATAAAGCATAAAGGTTAAAAGCAAAAGTAGATCTAGCATAGCGGGACACTAAAGTATAGTGTAGTAGCATTAATAGTAGCTAAAAGTGCTTCTAGTAGTTGTACAATAGTAAAGAGAGCGCGTAGTAGTAGTAGTTAAGAACTAGCCTAACTAGGTTAATAGCGCTATAGCAACTATAGTAAGACTAGGCATAACGCTTATACATGCTAAAAAGATATAGTAGAAGATTTCAAATCTAATATAACGTGGTTCATAAGCGAGTCGGTCACTCAAGCGAGTCGGTCACTCCCCACCAGCGCGTCGACGTTGATACTCCAACGCGTTATGTCTTAACAACACATCTATTAATTAACTTAACGTATGTGGCAAGCGAGCGCCGCAGGTAAGCGAGCGCCGCACCCCACCAAACCTGCGCACCTCTCCTATCTCAACGAACAATGGCTCAACGTAGCGCTACTTAATTAGCTTTAAATGAAGCAGATATTTAGCTTGCTATTTCTTCTATTAATCTCTATTAAACACAAAGTAATTGTCGCGCTGCTGCTGTCTACAACGTGTCTAAACGAACAATCCGCCGCCGACGCGCTGGTATACCTGCTCGACGCGATTGCTAGCCTAACTCAAAGAAGCTCACTAAGCTAGAAGAGGAGGTGATAGTTGATCATATACTTGATCTAGATCTACGTGGATTTGCGCCCACGTATGCTGCTGTGCGCGATATGGCTGATAAGCTGCTGGCTGCGCGCGGCGCTGGCCAGGTTGGGCAGAAGTGGCCAGCCAACTTTGTCAAGCGTACAGACAGTCTTACGACGCGTTTCAATCGAGCGTACGATAGGCAGAGAGCTCTATGTGAAGATCCAGTCCTAATCAAGAGCTGGTTTGAGCTTGTAGAGCAGACAAAGGCTAAGTACGGCATCTGTGACGAGGACGTCTAA